AAACAGGAAGAAGTGTAGCATAGGAACAAGAACACAGGCTTTGGCAACAGAACTGGGTTTGAAATTCACATGTCACCTTAAATTGGTCCTATGACCTCATTTAAAAGAGAAAGGATAGCAACTACGCTGCAAGACAGTTTTAAAGATTAATGTGCACATAGTACACATTCCAAGGTTCCCCTTTCTTCCCTAATGGTGCCAGTGATGAGAGGGCAAATCTTTAAAGAAAAGAACCCATTGTTCATAAAGATCAACTCTCAACATCTTCAAATATTTGCAGGACCAATTAATGTGGATGCTCTCTCAACTTTAATCATCTTGGGGAAAAAGGTACACGGAGATCTTCTAACATTGTGAGTATCTTGCTCATATCTGGACAAACATGCTTGGAACTTGTTTGCTTCCATATGAGCAGCAATTGGTTGACCAGAAAAACTGTCAGTAAAGTATGGCAAGCTAATATAAAACAGTGTCAATATAAAGCACCAGGCCACTCAGTAAGGAAATCTTCCTGTTAGTCCATGCACATCACTTTGCTTGCATGTTGGGTGAAGCACCATGGTCTAGTCCTGCATCGTTAATGGCAAGAACATCAGAATGGAAGTCAGGAGTCCTGAACCTGTCTTTTTATGAGTAACCTTGGACAAGTTTTTTAAAGATTTAATATTCATTTATTCAAAAATATTTATTGTCTACAAGATCCCTGTTCTCATGGAATTTATATCCTAGTGGAAAAAGAAAGATGTCATATAATAAACAGACAAACATAAGCATAGACAGGGAGAACCAGAGATAGTGGTAAGTAATTTGTAGAGATTTAAGACAGTAATAAAACAGATTGTGACTGAGTGGATAATTCAGGCTATATAGTCATTTTAGAAAAGGTGACATTTAAGTAAAACATGAGGAAGTAATATCTCCTTTTTGGACATCCATATCTTTTTTTTAATAAAATATGGGTGAACTGGGATGCTTTTGAAAATCTCTTCTAGTTCTAGAATTCTGTGATTTTGTGCCTATTGGGAATGTATTACACGTATGTGTGCACACCTATTTTTAGCTTCAAACATTATTCTATATTTGGTTAAGCAAATCATGTCAGTGAGTCTTAGCTTTGAAGACATTTAAGGTAACAGTAAATTATTTGTAAGAAACTAAATACAGTTTTGCTTACTGGACTTTTGTTACTATTCTTCCAATTCTGTCTGGCAGAGAAGTGCATATTTTGTTAATGTTTTGGCAAATATAACCAAACTAGTTTCTGAACAGAAGGGTTAATATGTCATTGAATATTTCAAAGTAGACAAAATATGTGAATTTGTAATAAGATTAGAAGTTGTCTTAAACTAATTCTTTTGGTGATCACTTACAACCACAAATTCAGACATATGGAAATTTTAAAAGGCAAAACTCTAAGCCACATGTTCTCTTTTACATAAAAATTGGGGAAAAAAGTTCGAGGTGATGAGGTATGGCATTTTTTTTTAAGGAAACATCAGTATTTTGACCCATAATTTTCACGCGCCAGTTAACTAGAAAATTACAAACGCTGAAAAACTCAGATAAACTGTACTGAGGGGATTAACACAATACATTCATCCCCTTCCCCTACCCTCACGTCTCCCTCTTCCTCCCGCCCACACCAAGCTGGGGCACATATCTGGAATGAAAACGAAAGCCTCTTGAACTGTTGAAAAATGAGGGTCTCTGAATTTTTAATTCTGTTAACTAATCATTAGAAAACTAGAAATTGCTATTTCTCTGAGAACCAGTGAGGTGGCAGGCACCACAGACTGTGTTTAATTTTGCAGGAGCTGGCTGGTTTCCCAGCAACACATTGATTTGTGGGGCCACTACTTTGGGCACCTCGAGGATAATTAAATATTAAGTCCCTCTTTGATGTATGCAAAGTCTGCCTAAGAGGATTACCAGCCACAGTGAAGGTAGCAGTCCCACATTTTTTGGTAATTGAACATTGCAATACCATTATCTATTCTTATCCCTACTCTGTAAGAACCCGTCTCTATCCTTAATATTACCTTAAGTACCTCTGAGAATGAAGAAGGGGTTAGGGAGAAAGAGTAGAAAATGAGAGCTCATACAGTCCACACTTTGGGACTGTCTAGATGTTTGGCATATGGAGCTGAAGTGTGCAGTTTAATGTGCATGAAATAAATGACAGTTGAAGTGAGCACACCATCCTCTAACTAGTTCTATATGACATCTTTCTTTTTCCGCTAGGATATAAAGTCCATGAGAACAGGGATCTCACGGACAATAAATATTTTTGAATAAATGAATATTAAATCTTAAAAAAACTTGTCCAAGGTTAGTCATAAAATGACAGGTTCAGGACTCCTGACTTTCAGTCTCATGTTCTTGCCATTAACCCATTTTATACACCAAGCAGTAAAGGCACACGGTTTAAGAATCTTCCCCCAAATTATACAACCAGTATCAGAGGAAAGGTGGAGACATACATATATATATCCGCTAGTGCCCTGGTCTTTCTATGCCCTAGTGAAAGGCGAAAAACAATAATTTAAATGATAATTTATACGGTGGGCAAATTCTGTAATATCCAGAAGTTGTGTTACCATTCTAAACCCATAGTTCATCTGCATTTATTCTCCAAGTAACAAGAAGTTATTTACAATTATAAGACATATTGCCCCCAATCAAATTTGCTTGTCTTTCAAAATAGATTTTGAATCAGCAAAGCCAGGCAGACATAATTTCTGAAGAAGGAGGGAGAGACATTCACTGACTTATTTCTTGGAGGAGACTATAGCTGTATACATCATTAAGCCAGTATGGTAAATTTCTTATTTCTATTACCAAATATTTAAGAAACCCAGATCATTAGTTGCCAAGAATAGGGAAACTGCTCTTATATAAGGGGAAAACAGAGGGGAGAGAAAATAAAAAGGGTGAAGGGGACATGAGATGACTTGCACTAGGGCAATTCAGAGATTCTTAGGAGAGATATTTCCCAGAGGGCCTGAAAAAGTTTGTATCATCACAGAGAAAATACTGGTGAAAAGTGGAGTTACACAGAGATCTGGCGAATGAGAAAAGAGTCTGCACGCAAAACAATAAAGTCAAGTCAGTTTAGAAAAGTGTCTGAAAAACTGCCTTAAGTCCTACTTTCGAAAAAAGTCAAGCTATAAGGAGACTAAAATATCAGCGATATTCAGAAATCATATAAAAGTTACAACTTGTTCCATGAGTAATCAGAACCATGAGAAAAGCTTAAAAGAAGAAATAGCCATAATATTTATGAAGAGTCCAAATATCAAAGTGCATGTTCCAGTGTCTCAACATGACAGAAAAGATGGATATTTCCCCCTTTTCCTAGTTTCTGCACTGTTTTGTAATATCTTCAGTATATAGAAATGACAAAAAATAAAGTGACACTCCAACCAGAGAAATCAGCCTCATGATCCTGGCAGGAAGATGAAATTGAGCAAGGCTGAGAAGATTGCAAGTGGAGGTTGTGTCAGGAAAGCACCTAACTGTAGCTATGTTCATTTGCTTCTGGACGAGTCAGAACCTTAAAGTTCCACATGGCAAAAATAACGTGACTTAATTTAGGGTTTACCTCAGGAATGCTACATGAAACTTCATGCTTGCTGAAAACAAGCACACTTCTAACTTCTATGTACATGGGATGTAGTTTATAGACTATCATCTCTGTGTTTCTAGACTGTTCTTTAAAGAGGCTGCAGGTAGTCTCTTGATATAATTCTAGGAAAAGTGTTGAGACAGAATATGTTAAGGTAATAGTGCTTCAGAGAGAGTATTATTCTGATATTACTGACTTTAATTATAATCTATTTCAGTGATTTGACAAGACTGAAGAATCTTTGATAGATCCATCTTTTTAAATCTCAATTTATCTAACTCTGAAGAATAAACAATGGTATTTACCTATTTATCTTGTGAGAGAAAATAAGAATAATAAGATAATAATTATGAGGATATCTGAGATGAATCCCAAGATATTCTTAATATTTAATCCATTTTAAAAAGAAATTCATTGTTCTTTAGATGCAATAAGCATATACATTATCAACAAAGCTTAGCGATCAGAAGGTAGATGGAGTTAGAGTCAGACTTCTAGGAAACTCTTTTGCCATTAACATTATCTGAGAAGTTCTGGTTTCTAACATTTATTGAGATAATTGCCTGCACTGCATGCTAAAGCACTTGACTGATGTTTCCAACTCCTGGACCCTATGTTTTCAGGGTGTATCAATTTAGAATTTAAATCAAACTCCCACAGTCATCATATTTCTCTGACTTTGGAATTAGCACTTCTATTTATTCAATCAACAAGAATTTAAGTTCTGAGTATGTGTACAGGATATTTAGAAGGATTCAGGAGGTGGTAAGTGCATCACATAGGGTTATAGGGTTTTCATGGTGGTGGGGAGACAAAACTTTTAAAACTAATGAACAAATACATAAATCTTAAAAAGGTTCAATTAAGCTTGCAATAGTCAGGAAAGGTTCTAGAGAGAATATGGACTGAGTGAGCCTTGAAGAATGGTATGGAGAAACTAAGATCTTGTATCTCTGTTACATTATGTCCATCTAACTACAGAGGAAAAAGGAAGGTATTTTAGTGCCTGGGCAGAGGATGAAATAAATGAATTAGCAAAACCGCACACTGCATTTCCATCTACATCTGCTTTTCTCTGGGAAAAGGCTGAGCCACCATAATTAATTGATACTGTGAACCATCCTATTACCTATAAAGAGAAAACTAATGAACACAAATTCAGTGAGTGAGACATCATCTACTACACATATGCATGTTCAAATATATGGAAAAATAAAAATAAACTTCATTGCAAATATTCAATTACTAATTATTAAATAGTTGAATTGATAAACAAACTGGAAAGTTTGCATTACCAAGTCGATTATTCAGCTGAAAGTAATCAAGCATTGGCCTCTCTTTATTGTTAATAAGGAATACCTTCAGTCAGACTTACCTGTCTCTGGGGCCAAGAGGCTTTAAGAATGGCTTCTGTTCTAAAGAACACAAGGAGCTTGCTGTCCTCCTCAGTCAGGTGAAATGACTGCCCCAAAATCTGCAGCACGTGAATGCGTGGCCGCACTGGCCAGGTATCATCAGCACAGAAAGGCCGCAGCCACTCTAGCAGGTCCTCAGACGAAACCAGCTCCTCTCTGCAGGGCAAAATCCAGGGCAGATGTAAACTAAGTTGTTTTCCCCCTTCCAGTAACCAAATGTGGTCACTGATCTAAATACTTGTTTGTTGGATGACTTTATTTATTTTCCTTTTGAGAGTAAAAATTTTGGTTTTTATGTAGCATTCAGCAAACCATATTAGGTATTTTAAAACTACATGAAATAAATGCAATTTTTAAACAGTATCATATTAAAATGAGCTATACAAAGTAGATAAAAATAATCATTAATCAATATGTCCTTAGCTAGTTTATTTCTTCTACAAAATTTAATAAGTAGTAAGGTTTATTTCTATTAATGATATACTAATAGCGCCAAGTACCATTCTAGTAATTTTATATATACTATTACTAGTTGACAATAATTATGCAAAATAGGTATCATAAATTACATTTTATAGGTGAAGAAACAGATTTCAGAGAAGTGATATGCCTACACCTGCTAACAATAGATAGTACAGTATGATCCCAAAGCTCAAGTTCTTTCTCCCACATTTCCCTGGTAATAACACTTTCAGTATGTGGTTAGAATATAAAATTTTATACTACTCTAAAAATAAAATATAAATGTTTGGTTATTATAGGATGGTGAAGTCTAAAAGAATTCAGAAAAGAGGACAGTTTGTACAACGTTCTGTCCAGGATTGGACTCTCTTCTCTTGCAATCCCAAATGGATCATCTCAGAAAAAGAACTAATTTGATGATGTCAGTGAACTACCATTGGTGACTCTTAAAGGGTTATCCACATAGAAGACACTCTCCCACAAAGGCCTAGAGAACTATTCTAAAGGACTGAATTATACAGGTTTTGTTGTAACCAGATGCTTATAAGGTGCTTAGCTATAAACCACCTAGAAGGAATCCTAGACTAACCTACCTTAACCCAATTTCATACCCTAACAAGAATATATACTTTTTTTGAAAACTTCTGAGAAGAATAAAATTCTACAACACCACTGAGAATGTCTCTTAGTGTCTATTCTTTAACATACTTGTCAAATGCTATATTATGGCAATTTAAATTAAAAGACAGAATTATCTGTATTTAAGAATAAAGAAAATATAAAATATTGTAGATAATGGGCTTAAGCATTTTCTAGTAATTTGTTAGTTTTTACCTATAAACATCCTTAATATTTATCCAGAAATTTTAAAAAATCAGGGTGCAAAAAAGTAAAATGAATGTTACCAACGTTTTCTGGATATTTACATTTTGCAAGGTGACCCTATGATTCCTGGTCCCATCCTTTCCTAAGAACTCTAGACAAAAATCATGAATGCTATCATTTTCATTTTATAGTTAAGTAGACAAAAGTCCCAAAAGTGTATCTCCCGAAGGCTGTGAAACCAAGATAATGTATACAATGCACATAGTAAATTACATGACACAGATAAAGTGCTTAATAAATACTAACCATCATTGTCATAATCATCATCATCATCATAATTATTATTATTAGCATCATCAAAGCACTATAGTTTGTGCTTAATGATACAGAGATAAAAAATTCTATGGTCTCTGCCTTCAAAAACTAATAATACAATGGAACGGAAAGATTTAAAAGTGATTATTAGCCAAATTACTAATATAATATAAATGTGAAAAATTGTTTTGGAGGAAGAATGAATAGAATCAGGGAAGGCATCATGAGGACGTGCCATCTGAACAGGAACACAAAACATAAGTAGGATGTATATAAATGAAAATGTGGAAAAATATAATCCACACAGAGAACAGGAAAGAAAAAAAGTGAAAGATTTCAAAAGACATAGATTGTTCAGGGAGAGACTGTAGCTTGGTTGTGTGGGTGGTAAATTAGAGGAGAGGGAGCGAGGGAGGGTAGGCTTTCTCACCAGGTAACCGAGAGACTGAGTATAAGCTGAAAAGGCAGTGTGGTTAACTCTTGGAAAGCACTGGCTCTGGAGGAGTCAGGCCAATTCAGTTCCCAGATTTACCACTTCCTGCAAGTGTCACTTTGACCAAGAAGTTACTTAACAGTTCAGAGCCTCAGTTTACTTATTTGTAAACTGAAGAAGAATAAAAATACCCTCCTCATGGGTTTGTTGAGAATTAAACAGAAACATAAAATAGGATAGTAAATGCAAAGCACATGATACAATTCCTGGCCTGTAACTAAATACTTTAATTAAAGGTGAACTTTATTATTGAGGACATCTAGTCTTTGGGGGATGAAATGGGAATGGCGGAGGGTTTCTGAGCAGTGAAACGTCAAAATCATGTTAGTGATTAGAGAAATGTGCAGGCTGAGGCAGACTCAGGCCCTGTTGGTGGAGGCCTGAAGCTGTTTAATTCAGGAGGAAAGGAGCTTAAAGCCCACTTTTGGCCATGAGTCCTAGCTAGTTTCACCTACTATGAAGCGGATTTTTTGACCCTCAGACTCATGTGCCAAAAAGATGAGTAGGATTAGCTAGAATGTGAGGAAGCTGGTGTCATGAAGACCAGCGGGAAGTTATAACAATAACCAAAACCCTGAATATGAAGAATAAGAATGAAAACAATATTAACATCTAAAGGCTTTCTCTGTGCTATGAGTTACATTACTTCATCATAAGTATCTTTTCATGTATACTCTTATCATCTCCAGTTTTTAGCTGAGGAAACAATCTTTGAGAGTTCTGATAACTTGTCCAAGGTTACACAGTCAATAGTGGCACCAATATTTGAACTTGGACTATCTGACTGCCTTGTCAATTACTAGACAATGCTACTGAGCCAAACAGGCATATTCCAGAACACCGTGGCAACAGAGTAAAGTTATTCAGATACTGATGCAATATAGAAAGATTATTACCGTAATATTTTTCCAAGTTATTAAATTTGGTTAGCTCCTTTTTCATTAGAACTTATTGTGCAGTTAATAATATTTGACATCTTGGAGGAACATGCTCTCGTTTTTTATTAATAGTTCAAACACATAATAAAATTATGAAAATTCATTCCTAAAATAGAAGCACTGTGTTCTAGAAGCACCATGTCCTAGATGAGTTTCACTGTATACCCAATGCAAATATTGGTGCTAAGACTACACAAAAATGATAGGCAGCTCTCTAGAAAAAGCTGTCAATGACATTGACTAGACACTATCTCCTCAAGTTTTTAGCTATAAAGTAGTTTACATTTTAATTTCAAATTTAGTTTGTAGAACTTGTAGTCACTCTCATGGTTCGACAACACACACACATACACACACACACACACACACACACACACACATCCAAGAGGGAAAACAGAGAGCAAGAATGAGGATAAGATGTTAACACCTAGTAAATCAAGGGGAAGAAGATATATGTTTATTAAAAAATCCTTGTAACTTTTCTGTGGGTTTGAAATTTTTCAAGATAAATAGGCAAAAAATAAGCAATTATGATTTTTATAATGTAGAAAACCAGAATGGGAAGAAGGAAAATGATTTCATTTCTAGTCTTTTGTGATGGCAAGGAAAGGATCTAATGAGGAAGAATAAATGAGAACACTATTTCAAAATATATTTACTTCATATGTTTTCATATATAAAGGCTATATAAGTGATTTTAAAAAGTCATAAAATAGTTAAAAGGGAAAATCTCTGATCGTTTCACTATATACGCACAGGCAATTGCTTCCATTTTTTTCCTGGAATAGGGATTGGGTAGGGGATATTATACTGCATAGAGTAATTTAGGACACTTTTTAAAAAAAATAACTAATAAAGGAAACACACTCACACAATCAGTTTTGGTTCAAAAGATGAGTCATCTGGAATATTTAAGGCGCTCTATTAACAGGAAAGAACAACAGCAGCAAAAGTGACAACAAATAAATGTTCATGACATGACTACTTGAGACTGCGATAATCTGGGCTGGGATGAGTATTCACCTACATTTCCCTAAATGTAATGTAGCATGGCAGGACATTCACAAAAGAACAAAGGAATTGAAAGAAATGTCAACCAAACAAAGGCAATAACTGAATCAAAGCAAAAAGATTTTAAGAATATAAATGAGCTAATCCTTGAAAAGAGCTTTCAGATTCCGCATGACATACATATACAAAGATACTCAAACATAAATTTAAGTAGTTAAGGTACATTAAAAGAGATAGGAACACATTTTATAAACCCTGATGCCTTAATCAAAAGAAAATCATTGCTCTTATTTGAGAATGCAAAAAAAGAATGTATTCAAACAAGAAAACACACACCTTTGAGATTTCTTATAGATAGAAGTGTCATATAATTTGAATGCCTGAAAAGAAAAGAAAGTCACTTCATCCAGCCTTCTATAATGACTGGAGGTAAACCAGAAACCAAATTTTGGGGTTGACTTACATAGTAGATGCCAATGTTTCAAAATTGAAAAATGTCATACACACAAACATAGAATCAGGATTTTCCAGGTTTTGTTAAAAAAAAAAAACCCAAAAACTGGATGGTATGAACACAGTGGCAACAACAGGCTGGGGCCAAGGCAGTAGTCACCTCTCTTAAACAATGCCTACATGAACTTTCTAGTTCTCCTTGGGCTCTACCACTGCCACCCTCCTCTGAATCCCAGTCTAGCTCACTCATTCCATTACCTTCCTGGCCTCTCCATAGGAGAAGAGTTTGCAAGCTCTAGTCTGCATGATGCTAGAGAAGGAAGGAAGGGAGGGAGGGAGTAAAGGGGAGGGAAGGAGAAGAAAAAAGAGGAAGATGGAAGAAGGGAAGGAAGGAAATAGGAAGAAAGAAAAAGGGAAGGGAGAAAGGAAACAAGAAAGAAAGGAAGAAGGGAAGTGAAATAAAATGAAAGAAGGAAGAAAGGAGGGGGGAAGGAAGGAAGGAAGAGAGGGAGGGAGAAAGAAAACAGAAAGGAAAGAACGAAGGGAGGAATGAAGACAGGGAGGGCGGAAGAAAGGAAAGGAGAAAGAAGGGAGGGAGGGAGGGAGAGAGGAAGGTAGGAATGAAATAGGGAGGGAGGGAGGAAGTGAAGGAGCGAGCA